GGTTAATTTAACCGATTAATTTAACCGATTAATTTAACCGGATAATTTAACCGGATAATTTAACCGGTTAAAAATTGTTTTTTAACCGGTTAACAAATGTTTTAACCGGTTAACCGTTTTAACCGGTTAATTAACCGGTTAAGCTTAACCGGTTCCAACCTCTAATTTTAACGAATAAATAAATATTATATATATAATTTAATTTAATTTTAAACCCTTTACCTTTTTAAGTGTAGAATAAATATATGTTGGTTAGTGAGAGTGCTATAATACCGAAGTTGCGGACGTGAAAGATATATAACAAGTATATCATATGGTTTAGATTCAGAATTATGATAATTCTGGTAATTCCGGCCAGTTTGCAATAATTCATTCATATTAACGATCACCATTATTTTAATGAATTTGCCTTTGTGCGCTATTTATATTTATATATTTCCTTATATTAATCGCATTACCGTACATGAAAATATTACAACATTTAAATTTAATAATATACTTTAAAATTTATTTAATAAAAACGCATTCAATTTACGTATATGATATTTTACTGATATAATAATATAAATAATATAAAGATAAAAACAAATAAAAATAAAAAAAAAAAAATTATTAAAATTACAAACTAAGAATCTTGAAGAAAATCTCATCAAGTCATAGTGTTTAAATAATTTATAAGAAAAAAAAATCAGGTGTAATAATTTTATCTAATTTATATAATTCTTTTGTATCTAAATATCTTAAATAAAGAAAAAAAAAATATTACGTAAAATTCGGTAATTTAAGAGGTAATTTTTAAACATTTTAAAAAATAATTCTTACTTTCAGGAAGTTCCAATTCATCTTGTTCTTCCGAATGAAGATTTGGATTGTTATGTGCTTCATATTCATCTATCAGATATAAATTAAAATTAAAAATCAAAAAATATACTATAGAATAATTATTTTAAGAATTTAAATAATTGTTTTATCATACCATTATCATTAATATGAAGTTTCTTTATTTGCTTTTGTGTTGATTCAATCTTATAATCATCTAAATAATAAATCATGTTTAATAATATAATAAAATTAACACATTTTAAATTATTTTACTTGCCATTTTTCGAGCTTCTTTTAAATATATTGGATAACTTTTTGCTGCTAACTAAATAATCTCAAATATACAGTAAGTTATTCATTCATTGATTATTCAAAATAAAATATATTATTTAATTACCTTTAAATATGCTGCTTATTTTTGAAGTACTATTTTTCTTACTACTTAATTTATTAAAATCATCAACTAAAAAAAGCAAAATGAATCAATAAATAATATCTTTATATAATATTTAAATGTAATTGCACTTACTATTATTAGGAATATGAAAATCATATGATTTATTACTATGAAACGCTATAAAAAAAATTAATCATGTCATCATAATTTAAAATTATATAAGAATTTGTTTAATATATACCTTCCTGTTCTTCTATTATTATTTAAAAAAATAGACATTATTAATTAAATATATTAATACACCTTTTAAGCAATTACTAACAAAAATGTTAATAAATCAATAAATACCCTCTGTTGCATTTCTTGGTTCAGGAAGATTATCAAATTGATGAAGTTTACTTGTAAATAGTTTGCTACTTCTAGTATAATTTTCCATTTCAAAATTATTATTTTCCTCTAGCTGAGATAATTCAGTTGATTTAGTTTGATAAAATAGATTAAGCTTATCCATTTCATCTGTAAGTGTATAAATATCAGGTCTTTTTGATGGATCAGCATCCCAACATTGCTTCATTAAATTTTTATATTCTAATTGAGTTCCTGGTACAATTTTAGGTCTTATACCATTAACAATATTCATTGCAAGATCATAATCATGTTCATAATTATTAAATGGTGGTTGTCCAGATGAAATTTCCCACATAAGCATTGCAATACTATAAATATCAGATTTAAAAGTCTATTCTTTTCCAACAATAACCTCAGGCGCTATATAAGGAAGATTTCCATATATACTTTTTAATGGTTTATCTGCAGGTCCACAAAATCCAAGATCACTAATACTAAATCTAGTTTTAAATAATATATTTCCAGAATGCAAATCTCTATGAATTGCGTTTTCATTATGAATACTTGACAGTGCTTCAATTATATAAACAGTAATTTGAATTCTTTCTTTCCATGTAAGTTGATTATGATTTTGTTGTAAATATTTTCTTAAATCTATATCCAACTTATTCATTACAAGCATATAATCTCCATTTGATGGATTTTGTGTTATTCCATAACATTGGACAATTTCAGTCCATTTATTGCTTATATTTAAATGTGATTTAGCCTATAAAATAAACCATTAAAAATTTAAACAAAATATTTCTGTTCTTTTTTTTAAAAAATTTAGATTACAAACCTCTTCAATCCAATTTTGATTTGCATTTTCAACATTTTCTAATCTTTTAAGTACTACATAATGACTTCCAAATCTTTTTAATTGTTGCCCTTCAGAATCCCATTCGATAAAATTCCCATTAGTCCAGTCTGCTGTATAAATTTCTGAAAATCCACCTTTTGTTAGGTATTTAATATTTTGTAGATTATTATATGAAATCCACTCTGGTATTAGATATGGGACAATTGTTTTCATTTGACATTCTTGTATCAAATTATCAATAATAACATTTCCAGATGTCCAATTTGAAAATTTTGCTTTTAAATAATTTCGAACACAAATTTCACAATATGTTGTAGCTAAACATTCTTGGTTACAATTTTCACAAATCCTTTTTGTTCCTTTATTAAAAGTAACTTTACAGAAACATGTCAAACCAAGACTAAGTCGTGACTAAACCATGGCCAACTTGTAAACAATCAGGAAAAGAGTTAATCACATGTTAGTCATGAGTTAGTCATGAGTTAGTTACGGCTTCGTCATAGGTTTAGTTACTGGATATTAAGGCGATATTCACAGATCGTCAATAAATCGCAATATCATCGATAGCAACTTATATAATATATCATAGCGTCATCATAACTAATTATGTAAATAAAATTCAATAAATTGTTGATTGGCATAACAAATTATGTAATAAAACTTTAATAAATCATTAATAAATTACAGTGTCTTCTTAAAAACGTTATAACTACATTGTAGGCATATATAGAATAAATCTTAATTACACTATAACAGCTTTTATAATAAATCTTAATCACATTGTGGCCACGTATATGATAAATCATATCGAAACATTATTCATGTATAAACTGAGTATAGATAACTCAAATTACTTGTAATAATTAATTGTAAATGTAAAATCAAAATAAACCATATAAAATACATATTTAAGCATCTTTAAAGAAATAAAGATTTCTTTCGTTTTCTAGATTGTAACCATCAATGCATTCATTCTCATTACAATAGTGAATAAAATGCATAGTACTTGTACGAATCATGCTCATAGGAAAGACACGTTGTTATCTATTCACAGACTGGAGTTTGAACACAGGGCATTCCAGCACAGTTTGATTGGTAATTTCGAATCCATTAACAGAAACAAAGGCAAACTGTTGGTTGTTGTATGGATGACTAAAAATTGACCGTATAGTTTTAAAAGCTTCTATCATTAGTGACTACAGTAAACAACTTTGATTCTTTAATAGAAAAAATTAAAATTTCAAAGTTAGTTTTGAAACTTACCGCCTATCTAATAAAGTCCAAAGGGAAACCTACAAAAAAAATAAAGAAATAGTTGTTCCATAATCCAAAAATCGGGTAAGATTCCTAAAAAAAGTTAGAAACGTTAAATAACATTTTTTAAAGTTTTTGAAACAAATTCATAAACTTACCAACCGGGTCTCTAAAAAAAAAGAAAATTAAACATTAGCAAATGTTTTATTGAAGAAATAATATAAATCGCACGTCCAACTGTCTAAAAAAATGAAAGAATTCATTAAAAAAATAGTGTTAAAAAAAAACCTACCGAAATCCACATCCGTCCAAAGCTGTCTAAGCTACAAAATGCAAAATACGAAATGTTAGTTGATGTTTTGTTACATAAAAATCAAAAATAAATTTTGATATTACCTTCGATATATGAAAAAAATAACAAAATGTTAGCAAAACGTTTCATTAAGATAAGTTTGAAAAACTTCACTAAAGTTCACACGCGTCCATGAGCTGAAGAACAAACCACCTAAAAAAAAGAAAAAAAGATTTAGTAGCTGTTTTTAAAAGATAAAGCGTAATTTTTCTTTTTTTGCATGAATGAAATAAAAAAAAAATATTGTAATTTAGAATAATGCAACAAAATAATAAAGAAAATAAAAAAATTACAAAACTTACCAGAATACCACATCCAAAGAACTGAGAAGTCGTCTAAAAAAGA